AAGTCACACACAGACACACACATACCTCCCAAGGCTAAATAGTAATTTTAAGGCTGTTTTGGAATAAAAGTGCCCCTAGCAGAATCCCGAACAGAATTCTGCTGAGAGATGCACCCACTTCAGTGGCCAAGTAGCACTTTCAGCCACACTGTGGGACCCCTGCTTGTGCATGACCTCCAGGCCAGGAGTACCCGGGGCACTGAGTGCTAACCTGAGGTCCCCCCATGGCCCCAGGAGGATGCACTGTGCCCACGAGGCCTGCCACCAAACCTCACAGCAAGCTCACCCCAAACAAATCACACACACGGGCAGGAGCCAGCCCTCTCTTGCTGGGCCTCTGAGAGGGTCCCCTGCTCTCCTGCAGCCTCCAGGGTGGAGGGGCACACGGGGATGCTCCTCGGGGACCCAGCCCGGGCCCTGTCCTGGTGGGGCAGCAACAGGGGATGTGGACTTGTGTCTGGACAGGAAGGGTCAGTTTGGAGTGGGGCAAGGAGGTCTAGAAGGCCGTCATGTGCAGGGCCACCTCTGGGCCACCCAGACCTCTGTCTCTTCCTTCCCTTCCTCTTGTTGGTCACTCTTCTCCTGAGTGGAGGGTCTGTATGGCAGGTGGGGTGCAGACGATTCCCACAGTGGAGGCCTCACCTCTTCCTGACTGCCTTGGGTGTCAGAGGCCTGCCTGCCCCTTGCTGGGCACCCTGGGGGTCCAGGCCCACTAACTATTTCCCAGGTCGGTGGGCCTCCCTCCGTGTAGCCTGCTGACTGACGGGCTCTTCAGCCATGGCTTCTGGGAGTGCCTGCGTCCCAAGCAGAAAAGCAAAGGTGATTCTGGGGCCCGGAGGCTCACCGTGACCTGTGACTTCAGGCCCAGCCTCTCAGGCTCAGGAAGCTGGAGGAGGCTCGAGTGGTCACACTGCAGGAAGTAACCTGATGGCTAGCCCCAGTGGGTCCACTGCAGATTGTGCTAGGTGCTGTTAAGGTGGCGGGTACCAGAAGAGAGACCCTCAGAAAAACTGGGCAGACGGAGAGTGTGTGGGGCGGGTGGGGCACCTCCACACTTCTGCAGAGGGCTGCACCGGCTCCAGCCAGGGCCCAGGCTGAGGGCCAGCATCTCGTGCTCCTCTGGGGAAGGAGGGCTGGGCCTGCTCCACCTGGGCAAGGTGTTCATGCACTGTCCCAGCTTTGGGGAACTTTTCCAAGTTCCTGGGTTGGAGAAGGGAGGCTCTGGCCAGGGGTCAGGGCAGGCGGTGACCTGGGGCTGCCCCAAGCATCTCCGGAGGGACCCACAGTAGGTCGGAAGCTGCTTCCAGAAGATACATTGGCTCCGGTGGCCTCTGAGGTGTGAGTAAGCTCTTTGCCCAAGCCCCCCTGTCCCTCTGCCCAGCACGGGCAGAAGGGACACTGCAGTGAGGGCCAGGGCCTCCTTGGTGTTGTTCTCAGTGAGAGCTCAGGGTCCTGGTGTGGCTCCTCCCTTCTCAGCCCAGTGGGGTACCAAGTGCCCAGAGCTAAGCTGCTGGACCCACAGCCCTGCCAGGACCTGGGGCCTGGGCCCAGCCTCGACTACTGGACTGTCCAGCCCTCATGGCAGGGAACCTGCCTGGGAGGTGTCCTGGCTTGGGATGGGTCCTGGGAATCCCTGGGCCATGGGGCCTCTGGGCTGATCTTGGGATTGATGAGCATGAGGCTCGCTGGGCTGATAGCTGTGGCCTGGCCCCTCAGCCACCAAGCCTCCTGTTCCTGAGCGGATGGAAAAGCCTTAGCATTGGGCTCCAGGCTTCCGGGCTGCATTGCTGTGACTAAGACCCCGTAACAAGAGCAAAGAGGAGGAAGAGTTGATTTTGGCTCATGATTCTGGAGGTCTCAGTCCATAGGAGTCCGACTCCAGAGCTCTGGGCCCAGGACAGGGCAGCGCATCACGGTGGAAGGGTGTGTCGCAGGGAAGCAGCTCAGCCCAGGAAGCAGAGAGCTCTGCTCTCCAGGGACAAAATACAAACCCAAAGTCACACTCCAGTGGGCCACCTCCTCCAACCACACCCCACCTGCCTCAGCACCACCCAGTTAATCCTCTCAGTGGATTAATCCCTCAGTGGATTATTATTAATCCATAATCGAATCATTTCACCTTGGGACACTCCTGCGTTGTCTCACCAGGGGCTTTGGGGGTCACTCACAGCTGACCATAGCACGGGGCCAGCTTCTTGTTGAGCCCTGACATTGCCCAGGCCCAGGGCAGTGATGGTCCCTGAAGGCGGCTCCGGAGGGTGATCCCCCTCACTTCCTCTGGAGGACCGTGTACCCAGCTGTGACAGTGGCTCGGCCACTCCCGGGCCTTCCTGGTTCTCTCATGCAGGCCATGCTCCTTGCTAGAAGCCAGGCACACACACAGGGGCCACCATGCGGGTTGGTGGCACTGTGGTCCCTCCCCAAGTTCAGGAGGGAACGCACAGCCGGGCTCTCCTGTTGGCCACCCTTTGGCAGGCTCCTGGGCTGTCCCTTGCCTGGCCTTGACCTTGGAGGTCCAGCCTCACCCCTGTTGAACCAGCTTAGGAAGAGCCGCCCCATCTGCTGGGGCTCTTCTCTCTCACCTCCTGGGGCTGTGACCCTGTCCAGCCTCAGCAGGGCCCTGCCCCGTCCCCTCTGTCCTGTTGTATCCACACAGCCCTGCGCAGTGGCTTGTCACCGGCCCCGTCCTGAGCACAGGCTTCCTCGTAGACCTCACAGGGTCAGAAGGTCTCTCCTCAGCATCGTCCTCTGCGGGAGGACACACATCCTCAGCAGGCCGTCTTCTCCCTTCCAGAGGGCCTGGGAGGCGCCTCGGCCCACGGGAGGCTCTGGTTTCCTGCCGGCTTCTCTCATGCGGGAGGAGGGCAGGACCCACCGCAGATCCGCCAGGGCCACCTACCCGCCCACAGCCAGCTAAGGAGACCAGTCCCTCCCTGCAGCCTTGGCAGAAGGGGGACATTCGTAAAAGCAGAAAAGAAATGTGTTATTATTTCCCAGCACAGGAGGGAGAGACAAACTGCATTTAGGGTGCAGGACGTCCCTAAAGAAGCCGCTTCTGAACACAGCCATGAGCAAGGTCCAGGAAGAGACCGGCCAGGGCCAGCAAAGGGAGCAAGCCTCGGGGTCCGGAATCAGGCAGAGGGCCTCAGCAGCTCTGCACAGCAGGGGCTCAGGGGCCCTGTCCACTGCCAGTTCAGAAGGGCAGGGGACTGACCCAGGGTCCACTCTGCGAGTGAGCATGGAGGTCCCCCTTTTTTTGTGGAGCATAGCACTGAGAATCTGGGGCCACCAGTGCCACTGGGCAGTTTCACGGGAAGTGGCTTTTTCTGGGACAACAGCTTCTTGGGCTGATGGTCAGCTCAGGATAAGGCTGAAACACTGTCACCTCCCAAGGCCAAGATATTGATGGTCACTGTGGTGTCCAGAACACAATGCAGGGCAGAGCAGGCGCCCGGTGGGCTTACGATATCCCTGGTGACAGCATCTGTCACCAAGCTCATTCCATCTTTGTATCAACTGACGCTCTGGGCGTGACCTTGGGGACCCTGGACACCAGGGGCTGCTCGCCATCCGTGGGAGCTCTCTGAGGCCAGGGAGGCTCCACAGGCCCCTCTGTGGGCTCCTGACTCAGTGCTCAGCATCTGGGAATGGCAGAGCCCACTGCGGGGGCGTCTGTAGCGAGCAGAAGGCTCTTCCAGCCCCCAGAACCCCGGGGAGGGAGGGCAGCCATGGTGACTGACCAGTGGTGCTTAGGGAAACAGGACAGTGAGCCACAAGCCAGAGCTGTCAGTCACAGAACCCGCTCTCTCCCCAGATGAGGGACAGGATGGTGCGTCCCCCTCTTATATAGGACAGGCACGTGGCCTGCTCAACCAGCTGCCCAGGAGCAGGGGCAGCCTGACAGCCTGAGCCAGACTCCCGAGAGCCTCCCCGGCAAGGTCAGGCCGAGTCTGCCTGCCAGCGTCCCAGTGACACGGCCCCTCCAGTCCCCACCGGGCTCCTCAGACCTCTGGCCAGGCTCAGAGAAGTGTTTGTCACCCAGCATGCTGCAGCCCAGCTGACCCTGGAAGCCTGGTGTGGCCCGAGGAAGGAGTGGGCGCTGGCCCTGCTGCCCCTTCCTTCTCCTCACTGCAGAGCCCAGGGAGCTCAGGGGGCTCTGCCTCTGTGGGAGGGGCCCAGGGTCCCCCGCAGGCCCCACCTGAGGGCACGGGGGGGGGGCTGACCTGGGGCTCCTGCGGCAGCTGTGGGCCGCCTCATCTGCCCCCTCTGTCCCTGGACAAGCCAGATACCTGGAGGGGAGACCTGGGCCGGGCTGCCTGCATCCATGGTTCCAGAGACCCTCGAAGTCTCTCTGAAACAAAGCACAGGCCATCCCAGGGCCGTGGCTCGCCCACTGGACACAGCTGCCCAGGACCAATATTTATAAAGAGCAGGTGGAAATGACAAGTGGGACCCCAAACAGGTGGCCTCGGGGGGCACTGCAGGCAGCACAGACGATCTGCTCCCCACAGACGGCTCCTGGGGACCGTGAGCAGATTTCCCCAGACAGGAGTCCTTTAGGCCTGGTCTCCCTTAGGAGCCCCGGGGCCCCGAGTGGGGCTTCACCTCTGTGTCCTGGGCCACGGGGGTTGGTGCACAGACACCTGGCACAGGTGAGGCACATCGTGGCCCCTCGTCCCACTGGCTGCCTGGGCTGCCCCCGTGGGCAGGGAGACAGGGAGCAGAGGGCCTCGGCCTGCGTGGGGAGCAGGTGTTCGCACCTGGGAGCTGGGCACCCCGAGCAGGGGCCTTGTCTACCCGTGGGGGCCGGGCTCCAGAGGTCATTCCTGTGGGCCCAGGACGAGCCGGGGCGCTGGGTGGGGTCAGGGGCACTGGGCCCGGGAAGGAGGTCCCTGTCTCCAGAGCTGGTCTGACCCAGGGTGTCCAGCCCACCTGCTGCCCCCCCAGCCATGCCAGCTCCAGCCCTCTTCCAGGACACCACGGCCAGGGAACAAGAGCCATGCTTATCAAAGGAGTTTTTCTTTATTTTCATAATTTAGCTGAATCAACACAAAATTCAATACTGTAAAACAAAGAAAAATAATATGCTGTAACATCTGAAATCTCCCGGTCTCTGCCCTCGAAGGTGTCTACACTCGCTTTCGGAAGGACAGGCAGCGGAGGCGGTGGGCACAGGCGAGCCTAGGCCGCGGGGGCTGGGCAGGCCCTCGCTGGCGCCCCCTCTGTGATGAAGACCCCCCTCAGCCTTTCTTTCTCTCCAGGATACAAATTCCTCTACATGTTCGGTGACTGAAGGTGAACTAAGTGCTCATGGAGTGGGAACGGGTCTTACGTCATGGATTTCCTCTCCTATCTTTAGTCTATGGTGGTTGGAACGGCGTCTATATACTGTAGTTATATTTTTAAACTTTTTAGTATTGAAGAACTAGCATAATAGTCATGTTAATTGGACTCGTAGGTAGTATACTCAGCAGGAACTCAGGAAAACGGAGGGCGCTGGCGTACAGTCGCCAGGGGAGGACACACACACTCGACCCTTCCTCGGGGCCGCGGGCCCCACCATGCAGGGGCGCCTGCGCCTGGCCCCCTGTCCCCCTGTCCCTCTGTCCACCCTGCTTGCTTGGCCTCCCGGAGAGGAGATGGGTCTGTGGAGAATGAGGGGAGCGCCCCCTCAGGAAGGAGAATCACTGCCCAAGGCCTTGAGGCCCAGGAGTGGCAGGAGGGACAGGAAAGGGCCAACGAAATCCGTGGGAAGAGCCAGACCAAAATCCTGTACCCGCAGCGCTCACCAGTCACAGACCCAAAGGGGGACAGTGGCCACCAACCTCGAACCAAAGTGGAAAGAAACCCAGCTTCCCCAGTGCTGGTCGGGAGCCTCGGCGGGACACCAGGGCCGTGGTGCCCGGCCACTCTCCCCCTGCGCCCGGCTCCTGAGGTCCCACGCAGCCACCCCACAGTCTCCAGGGACACACGGGGACTGGCCCCGCGTTCGGGGAGGCCAGGGCCGCCACGTTAAGTGTTAAATAGGATTTTCTACAAATATACAACATATAAAAACTGTTAAATATATAACTTTAGGCTTTGCAAAATACATTTAATGATCTCTTTCAAACAGTGTTACTTCCGTTCTCTTTAATTTGCTTTCTGGAGCTAAATGGCGTATCGTAGGAGGCAGCAGTCACGGGAGACCCAACATGCTCTTGGCAAGAACTGGATTATCCAACTATCAAAAATGGGGCTGTCGAAGAGGAGGCGTGTGGAACTGGTTAAAACAGAAAGTGATTTTAGTACGATAAAGTCGGTCTAAGCACAGAGACGGGAACGGCCCGTGTCCCGGGGACCGTGCTGTCCGCGTGGGGGCCGACGCCGGCCATGGCCGGGCCGGTGCCTGCAGGTGAGCTGTGGCGTCCTTCCGGCTGGCGCCATCTTCCTAGGGCGCACCGCGGCGATCGTGGGGCGGGGGCCTCCACCGCTGCCCGCTCTCTGCCGGGGCCACCAGCAGGTCTCTGCCACCGCACCCCTCCCCCCGCCCCGCCATCCAGCCCGGGACTCTGACGGTGAGGGCGCGTCCACGTTAAAATAGATCTGCTCTTTGGTCTATCGAGTATACTGAAAGTATAAGAAAATAAAACAATTCAGACAGTCTGGGGCCCACGGAGAGGCGGCGTCTGCACCTGAGAGTCCTGGGACCGCGCGTCCGGGCTCATCTGGCGGGGCCGCAGCTCCTCCTCGGCCCCATCCTCGTCCTCCAGCTCCCAGGAGAGTGGCCGGCAAGCGAGGGCGCGGCCGGGCCCCACAGCCCTGTATTGCTTGTGCCCAGCGCCTCCACCTGTGCGTCCACGTCCGGCCCTCCTGGGTTCGGCGGGTCAGGCTCAGAATGCTGAGGACAGAGGCTGTCCTTGATGGGCCGCGGGAAACAGTGGCTGGAGGCAGGGAACAGGCGAAGTCCACCCAGGGCTGAGGGCCGGGGTCGAGGTGTGGACTGTCCAGGGAGCCAAGACCACTCCCGGAGCCCCTGAGGGCTGTGTTCGTCAGGAGACCTGAGGAGCAAAGAGAAGAGACCGTCAGCCCGGCGGCAGCCCAGGGGGAGCAGGGCACGTCCTGCCCCGCAGTCCACTGTCCCCAGTGCAGGCAGAACTCTGAGCTCAGGTGTGGGGGCACCTGCTCCTTCTGGCTGGAGGCAAGGTCGGCTCCAGCACTCAGGCTCCTGGGCAGACCCCGGCCCTCGGTGGCGTGAAGCCACAAGGCCACACCTGTGCCTCCATCCTCAGCCAGCCTTCTCCCTGGGCCTCCCCTCTGTCTCCTATGAGGACAGTTGTCATTGGAGAGGCCCAACTTCATCCCCTCTGCAAAGACCCTGTTTCCACAGGAGGTCTGTCCACAGGTTTGGGGTGGAGGGCCACTTCAGAGGACACCGTTCAAACCACTGAGGTCCCCTGTGCCCTTTTCTTCCCTCACACCCTGAGTGGCCTGGGCCATCCCCCAGTGCCCG